AGCTACGGAGATTCCTGGCCAAAGAGCTGCGCTTCTCTGGGGGGTGGCACAGCAGGTCCCAAATTCCGGTCAGAGATGAGTTAGAGCTGCGTTTCAGGCAGTGGATCTGAGGCGGGGCTCGAGATTTAAAGTTTGCACTTAAGAGCCGTGGTTTAATAGTTCTCTGCCTGAAAAGAGAAGTCCAGGTGCATCCCGGAGTGTGGCACCCTCCAGGAATTCTTGCTGTGATTGTGGTTCACGTGCACTTTCAAGGTATCCTTGTGCAGCGTTAGCTTGCTTTTCGTGTTTTGCTTTGCGAACTGCACAGTAGTTGGGTTTTGTACAGATTTCTGTAACAAAGTTTGAGATGAACATTCAATTTGTTGGGAAAAATGCCTGTATTTTATCCCTATATTTTTAATGTACATTTGCAGATTTTCTTTTATTTCAAAAAGATCCCTGAGTATTTTGGGGAGTGTGGTGCTGGAGGCAAGTGTAATATCCAAGCTCGGTGTCTTCAGCAGTGAAATAAATTCTGGATAGAAATGGAGGAACTTTTGCTGCTTTTGCATTGAGCACTGACATTGTCCCTGGATTAGTGTGGCTCCTCAGGGATCCCCAAGATGAACATGATTATTAGTGACAGGATCAGGCCTGTGCCCAGGCATGACAGTGATGAGACAAGAGCTGTTAGGTGTCGTCTAAGTGGAAGAATATCCACTATAGACTGAGAGTGTTGTGCTGGGTTTTATTTTAATAGCATTTCTGTGTCATTTGGCGGATCTCTAGGTAACTTTCTAATTTTGAAATTAAATACTGCATGTGTTTTCGCAGCAGAAAAGTGATTTCTGTTTGACACTAAGGAACTTCTTTTAAATAATTTTTTTTTTCAGAACAGTGCCTTGATGGTTATAGATGATTTTTATGAACATTCAGCCTGACCTTGTTTTACTTTCTGAGCCTTATATCCTTATGCTTATGTTTTAATTTTGGGTAAAGTAAGCAACACTTATTTTATTTCTGTTGGCAGAAGGAAAGTCCACTCTCGGGAGGTCCAATCTCAGAAAGAGAACAGCTTGTTTCCTAATGTTCATTGCTGCTGAAATACTTCCGTGAACATCAGTGTTAACATCTGTCTGGACATGAGTGTAGATGAGCCTGGAAACGTGATCTTTATGATTGTTGACCCAGCAAGTGCTTTTCTTTTTGTAAAAATAAACCAACAAACATATAACCAACTTGACACTTGCTTCTGCAGTGCTGTGCTTTCATGCTAGTTTATGCCACAACAGAATAGTTTCATTTATTTTCAAGGGGCTGCCCTAAATTTATGTTGATGCAACTTCACACAGTTGCAGGTTACCCTTCTGATTTTTAATTTTTTTTTCCTTAGGTCTGTGTCTGATGCATACTCATTTTTATTTTTATTTTTTTTAATGGTCATAGGCTCCCTGGATTACCTCTCTACCATAATATTTCTGTCTGAGATTCCAGTCTATGGGTGTCTTTTTCACCGTGTCTCCTGTTTTCTTCCCAGAGCACGCACAGACAGGTAACTTCTCAGGTGCTTAGTCAGAGAAGCAGCTGACTGTTCCACCAGATTCTTCTTCTGGCTTTGCCTTCCCAGATTGCCCCTCATTTTTTGAGATGACATTTCTACTTTCCTAACCAGCCCTTTTTTATAAATGTAAAAATATCATCAAAGATCTGGTGCTTTTGATGCTTGCAGATGAGTAGAGATGAAAGTCATTTTGGAAGCAGCTCAGATCCATTCTATGGGCTTCCCCAGAAGTTCTTGCATCCTGCAGCAAGGAACCGCTTGGTTTGTGAGTGGAGGTTTTATAGCCACAGTCTATTGCTTGTATTTCTGCGCAACTGTCCAACTTTGATACGGCTTCCAACACCCTCTTGGCTGCCGCTGAGCAACGGGGTCGCTTTGTCAGCTCTGTCCCTGAAGTCCTCCTGTAGTGCTCTGATGTCACTGTTCGTACACCGAGACTGTGCGAAGTGCTTCTCTGCTTCCCTGGCTGCTCTCGCTGAGCCAGGTTGGGTTTTGGGTGCTCCGTGGTGGTGTTGCCCTCGCAGTTGCTTTCTTTGCTCTATTTGCTATATGGCTTGAAAGAGACTCAACCCTCTTGGTTCCTCCATCTGCAGAACTCTAATTCTGTTGTGGCAGGAAAGAAATCTTGGAAAGCTGATTGCTTTTGTTAGCAGGGTATGTCCACCCTTGAGGGTCTTATGAGAGCTGCAGTATGTCACACAATGGCTGGTGTCTCTGTGGCATGGGAAACTCTGAAGTGGAAAGGTAAATTGGGTGTCTTACACATTGATGTATGTGCAGGTCTGTCACACCTTCAGGCTGTTGCATAATGGAAAGTCTTCTGATTTGAAGGGCTTGAAGGTTTCTTGCCTCTTAGTTGAGGTTTCAGATAGATTAATGTGTGTGGATCCTCTGATTAATTTTTTTTTTCCTTCTCGTCCTTTCTCCTTTTCTTCTTGGAAATGGAAATTTTTGAAGACATCCTTTTAGAGAAGTCAACTCAATGAGCTTGGTTTCATTCTCCCAGGACTATGAAGACATATTTGAAGGCTGTTTTGTGTAAGAAGTTACTTTCTTCATTGTGCTGTTTTTGATGTGCCATTCTAGAGATTCAGGATACCTACACAGTAACTCTTCAGCTTATACCCTGATGGACAGATGATCTATTACAGAATGTTTTCTTTCAGGTGTTTTTGAACGCTGATATATAACTGAGCCTGTGGTTTGGCCATTCCTCTAGCCTTGGGTTTGTTTTTTTTCTTTTTTCTTATAAAAAATACACAGTTTCTGTTTTTCCTTACTACTTGAAGCTCGCTAACTACGCTTGCCTCTCATGTCTTCGTACATTAAAGGCTGAACATAAGAGCAGAAAAACAACTTGTTCTGCCTAGCCACAATCATCTAAATTGGGTGTCTGATCAAAGCTATCTGTCTAGGTCTCCCTGAGTTGTCAGTGGCGAGAGCAAGGGACCTGTAGAAAGAGATTTACTCAACCTATTTTGGGTGCACCTCTAAGCATGGGATGCATAGTAGTGCAAGGATGGTGCTTTGTCTCCCTTTTAGTGATCTAAAAAGTTACCTTACCTTAAATAATTAGCTTTGGGTCTTAAACTTTGAAGAGTAGATGAATTCAACCCTTCGCCTGTTTTTTTGTCATCTTTGTCTTAGATTGAGGAAAATGAGGTTACAAGAACTACTTACCACAATTACAAATATGGTATTGTTTTCAGTCTCTTAAAATACTGCTCAGAGTTGATCTGAAATTGTTTTCTAATTACTACTTTAAAAAAATCTGATCTCCTTGATGATCTGTACTGAAATGTGTTTCTGAGTGACAGGGAGACTTTGCAGGTAAATTTACTATGGTTTTTACCATCTGTTTTAATAAATCAGTGAGCAGAGCATTTCCAAATGACCTTCGGTTCTATCCATGAAATGTGAGTTTGAATGTTCCAAGGTTCCAAGTGAATTATTGGCATTAGACTGCTAAGGGTACTTATTCTGGAAATAGTGATTTATTATTTGTTTGGATGCTCATGCTTTTGTTTGTATGGAAATATACGAATATACATTAATGTAGTGTTTCCACACAGCAGCAGCTTTAGACACAGTGGGACTTTCCGTGGTGTGGCGGTGTAGGCAGAGGTCTCATTGTTCTTGCACACTTTGATGAAAAATATTGGATGAGTACTTTGCTGTGTTACTTTTTGGTTGAAAAGGAGTTAATAAAAGTAAATGTACTTGAAGAAATTAATGAAATCAGTGAACAGATAAAATGTTATTATTTGAAATGCATAATGTTGTATAATGGGTTTGTATAAAGTGTGGCAGAGATGAACTACTCTCCACACATAATGAAAGAACTTGGAGTCCTGTTTCTGTAATTGAAGTTCTTTTGTACTTACCTGTTGGGAAAAAACAGGAGGATTTTTTAACAGATTTGCTATCCTTGAGTAAATATATTTATCTGTAGCTCCAGATACTCCGCCAAGTTTTTTAAAAAAAGAAAAGTTGGAAGGAGGATGCTTTTTCTTTCAAGATAATTAAATGTTGTGACTGTAGATTTTACCTCCAGAGTGAGTGAAGTATAGCTGCATTAAAAAAAAAAGTTAATTGCTTACATAGTTTACAAGACTTGCACAGAGGCTTAATCCATGGGATAGGAGAAAAGCATATAAATACATTATATTCCACGTTTCTTTTTTGAAGTGTAATGAACTTTTATTAATAGGTTGTAAAAGTACTTGCCATTAGCGGTCTGAAAACTGTTGTGTAAGGTGTGCTCCTGCTGTTCCTCAGATCAAAATTTTGAGGTTTGAAGATCTCATTAACCTGTGGCTATACCCAGAGCACTGGCAGAGGGACGAACATCAGCCTGGACTTCAGGCTTGGTTCTGCTCTGCGAGGTACCACACAGAAATACAGGATGCTGTGGAGCTCTGCTAAGTTCAGTCTGGTCCTCTGAATGCCACCAGAATATAAATAATAAAAAACAGTGTCACCTGATGATTCATCCCTGCTCTAAACTCTTGACCTCACTGGCAAACTGAGAAGTTTTATTTTTCTTAGTACCCTGGTACCACGATCCACAGCTTCATTTGTCTGGGGAATTCAGCTCTGCATTTCTCTACAGGGCGGTTAACTATTGTAAAAGGTCGTTAGCCTTCATCTGACAGCCCCTCTGAGAAGTAAAATTAGAACCATTAGGTAAATTGAAATACAGAGGTACCTACCTGTGATTATCTCTGTCTCCCAAGGCACTCGTAATGGCTATTGACAGAACTGGGCTTCTTTTAAGGGAGCCATGAATCTGCTGGTCCTTGATGGGAGAGCTTTACATTTCCTTGGAAATAAAAAGGAAACCTTTCTCTGCTTATTTTTGAAAGGATCTTTCTCTAATGTTGTCAGCACAGGTTTCTCCTTGAAGGTAATGGATTAAAGGAATTCCCCCCCCCCCCCCCCCCACCTCTGCATTACAGAAATGGCATCAGATATTCCTGGCTCCGTGGCCTTGCCGGTGGCACCAATGGCAAGTGGACAAGTGAGAATGGCAGGATCCATGCCTTCCAGAGGAGGAAAGCGTCGCTCTGGGTAAGCCTTTTCTTTTTTTTTTTTTTTTTTTTTTTTTTTACGGCTGAAAACTGGAAATGACTGGTATTGAAAAACTGAAAGTGTACCTATATGTGTATGTTGATTATGTAATGTTTGTGTGTGTAAATTACACTATGGCATTAGTCACTGATGTTTTTTTTTTTTTCTCTTCAATGTATCTGCTCTTCCTGCAAGATCAAACTTGCTGATAAGTGTATTATTTGTTGTTCTGCATGCTTCAAAAGACTTTCAGGTTTGGCAAAGCATCCAGAAACGGAGTTTGGATCCCGTGGCTGTTGTACATGTAATGAATGCGTATTGCCTGCCTCTGTTTAATCTCAAAAGGATTTATCATGTGAATAAAGGGAGCAAAATGTGTTCTTACTTGCACATGCAGACTTATCCAACTTCATCTGAAGTTTGGACTTGGAATCTCTCAAATAAAGGCCTTCTGTTAAAAGTGTTTTCTTTAAACTCCCAGGTACAGAAATAGCACAAGCAGTCACTCTTCAGAGATTGTGGTCTGCGATACTCTAGGTCTTGCTGGAAATGCAGCTTAGTCTCTCTGATTCTGGGAGAAAGGGTCTGAATCAAGTTCAGCCCTTGCACTACCTTGAGGGCTCTGCTAAAGGAGAAAATTTGTTGTATCCAACTATAGAGGTTGGTGTGGTGTAGGGATAGTTTTTCCACATTAGATTTCTCTGTGGGAACTCATGCTAATGATGTGTTAGAAGAAAAGAGTATCAAGAGCTGCAGAAGGCCAGAAAACTACTTTCTAGTATTACCAATAAACCCCTGTTTTTATCAAAGGTTGATCACAAATAGCGGTCTTTAGGTGATGCTTTCTCTGATACCTCTGATCCGAGAGTGCCTGCCAAAGAAATTGGCAAGTCTTATATTTAGCCCTAAATATGACAGTGGTAGGGCTTAAGAGGATCAATAGCATGAGTAAAATCTTCACTGATGGACACCTAAGGAGAAGACATTATTCCTTGTGAGATTCCTCTGGGGATTGTTCGCCAAGTACGTTGCCCGTTTTAGGTGTCTGCTCAAGTACCAGTGCTGGAATCTCAGTCCTGGAATGAATTAAGCAGAGAGAAGGTGGACCTTGTCTTGGACGTGGAGTTAAGTTGGTGTGACCTGAACACTCAGGATGGTTGTTCTGAGGGGGGGGTCTTCGAAGAGGATAATTTGGCGATGTACTCCCACTGAGTGTGCTTCCATATGCTGAGCGAACTTTAAGAAATTGGTCTGAGAAACTCCTGAAGTCCGTCTTTGACAGGCATCACGGTTTTATTTTGGAACTGTTCAATGAAAAAGCCTTTTCGAACTTGCACTCAAAAGAGAAAACAAAGCATTAACATCTTTTCATTGCCACATAACATCGATAAACTTTTGTACTTTTGAGTTGCAGGGTAATTGATCTCTTTTTTGATCATAAACCATGTCAACTGCGAATACCAGTTTGCAAATTACTGTTACCAAGGGTTGAGGCTGCTGACTGTGAAATCTTCTGATTATATTAAATACTGACTTGACATTAATTGAAAGCTATGCTTTAACTGTTGCATTTTAAGTATCATCATCTATTTGCAAGAAAGTGGAGCGGGGGGAGGGTGGGAGGAACATAAAATCAAATTATTTAAAATGTATTTAACATGTAAATTCAGTGTGTAAGATAGTATAGATTTGCTGTTTTACCCTGATGGTGGCATTTCATCTGTGCACTGTAGCTCTAAACTAACAGCCCTTCTCCAAGCCTGAGCTGAGGGTGCTTTTTTTTTTTTTTTTTTGGTTCAGTGTATATATATTCAGGCCTTGAGGGAAAGAATGCCTGCTGTGTCTAATTCCTCCTAGCTTCTCTTTGAACAAAGTTGCAACTAACACTTGGTCCTTTCATTACTCTCCTGGTGATACATCTTTGTACACCTAAATCCTTGGGCATTTTAGAAATGAATGCTTTGTGTCAGACATAAAGGAATGTAGCTAGTGAACACAGTCATCTTTTCCAGCTTCGGTTATCTCTGAAAATTGTTTCTTTTCTCATAATTGCTGAGGCAAGCTGGCAGAATAATTGCTGTATGGACTTGAATGTAGATCAGTTTAAACTCATTGGCTATCCAGAAGGTGTTTCTGCGGTGTAGGCATTTGGCTACATTGACAGCTTGGAAAAATATTTTTCCTTTCTATAAATTATACCAAGTACTCTATAAAAAAAAATGACAGCCTAGTACTGTATAAGATAATGCATTGCAGTGGTCAATGACTACCTTAGATTAATGTAGCATCCATTCTTTATTTAACATGTTTTTTCTTTAGGCTTTGCTGTATTAGAGGATATGGGGCTTTTTTTTTTACCTTCCTAGGTTATCTGTGCTTGGGAAGAGAGGGTTGTGGGGTTTTTTTTGATTGGTTGGTTTACAGTTGCCTTGGGTTTGTTTCAGTTCAGCCTGTGGTCTGTTCTTTTTCTCTGACCCAGAACTGTAAGATCTGGGGAAAAAGAGCCCTCAGCCCACCACCCTCCTGCCCTGGGTGTCCCCCCGATATCGTACTGAACAAAGGGCTGGAGTATACATCCCCATCTGCCTCTCAGCTGCATCTGCGCCTCATCCTTCCTGCCTGCCCCCTTCCTACGCTGTATATTCATGGCAAGCCATCTTTTGACGTTTCTTGGGAATTTTACATAGTGATTTTGTTGCAACATTCAAATTCTCTCCCATCTCAGTTTTTTAACCTGTGCAGAACCACCTTGTTGGAGGGTGGGGTTTGTTGTATGAAAATGTTTCCAATTAAAAATAAATAATTTTAAAAAATATTTTTTGTCACAGTATTTATGGTACTCGCACATCTTTGGAGGAAAATTTATTTTAATAAGTACCTCATACATCAGGCCTTTTCACGATTGACATAAACAGTATGAAAGAGGAAAACAGGATTTATGCTGTCTCTTCAAAACAAAAGAGCATAGTGCAGCTCTTTTTTAAAGTCTCTTTAATGGGATTTTTAAATGAGGATAGAAGATACTCTTTCTGAAACTTCTGAAATGATGTCATTTGTCTTCTTGTAAGCTATTTCTGCAGCTTTGCCAATGTGCAATATACTCTATCTGAACAGAAGATCTTATCTGTCAGGGTATGAGGAGTTTGTTGGAGTAATATTTTTATGTGTTCTGCTAGAGGTTACAACTGATGCCCTGTAGTTCACTCTGCCTTGCTACAAAGCAGGCACGGTGGTTCAGGCAGGGCATTGGTATCACCGACTTTATAACTGAGACTTCTTTGGGGGGGAGGGGTTTGAAAGTGTTTTCTCATTTTGCACAGTGAAATGTGAAAATAGGAAACATCTTTATTAACAAAAATGGGACAGAGATACATTTGCTGTTGCATTTTTAATGAATATTGACATTTATAGTGAGTTTTATGTTTAATTTCTTATTTTTTTATAATCTTGCATTTGAAATAAAATCAAGATTTTGGGGTAGTTTAGTAAAGCAATGGTGTTACTTAAAGATTTGGTCTGCTACAGCGTGGTATTGCACCCTAGGCACTCAGACTCTGCTGCGATGAGCCTGCTGTAGATGTGGTAGGTATCACCTAAGGATATTAACCCATTAAGATTTTGTAAGATGAGGAGCTGACACCCAGCCGGCTGGATGAATAGGTGTGTTGGTCCCACTAACGCCTTTGGAAGTCGGCACATAGTGCAGGCAGCAGGATCGAGCCGTAAACCGTCATCAGGGTCTCCGTAATTCTCTGCATTACATACTGGTAATAATACTCTACACTAAATGCAGTAGAGCTTATATTTGATTTTGGGGAAAAATATCCATCTCGGCACGCAGCTGGAGTATTTGGCTGGCAGCTAAGAAAATCTACCAAGGCACAGGTTCTCAGTGTATTGGTGGGGAAGGAAAGGAATTACAAAATTAATCCATCCCAAATTAAAGCAGTGTCTTACTGAATCCCTGAAGAAAAGGCTTTTCCCCATATTTTCTGCAGCTTTTTCCCTGACTTTGAAACTGGAGGTTTCTCTCAGTTTTGTTTCAGTTGCGGGTGAAACCGGTGAAGGATACGCCTGATGTGATGCTTTTGCAGGTGGTTTCAGGTGGGGCCAGCCCAGTGCTGCTCCGAGCGTGCCCTCCGCTTGTGAACCCACAGCTCTCCTGTAACGCTGGCTTTCACATTTTGGGTTTGGGTAGGAACGTTGCAATTGAAATCACTTGGAGGTTTGTTCTGCGATGTCACATACAGGCACGTTATTATAGGTGGGGAAGAAGCAGGTGGGGAAGAAGCAGGTGGGGAAGAAGCAGGTAGGTAAGAGGAGACCTTCGGCTGGATGATAAGTGTTAAATCGCTGGGGATATTGTACATGCGGCAGGTCTGGGGAAATCCAGGCTGCTGGTGGCAGCAGTGGTGGCCACCTTGGGGTGTCAGTGGCCGGCTGGCAGCTGGGCGGCAGGCATGGGGCACGGGAGAGGGTGCTGCCACTGGAGGTCGGTGTTGGTCTGCGCAAGGCAACGGGGAGGTCACTGGCTTTGAAAACAGATTTGGTGATAATTAGGTGAGCAAAAATGCAATTTATAGTGAAAATGATGATTGCATCAATCTTAACCAAATTAAATACGCATCTTTTCTTAAGACTCTTTGGGGAAAATGGTTTTCCCTCTGCTTCCTCCAGAAATGAATAATCACTATTACCATCTGGAAAATATTACTGTGACTTTTCTAATACCGGTTCCAATTCCTGTGCTTATTTGCTGGCCTGGTCCTGTTTGTATGTAGATTGCTGTGACTCAGACACGTCTTTTATAGACCAGTCTGTCTTGGTTATCAAAGTTGGGAAGCCAGGAAGTATTGCCTGACTGGCACACATACTTCTCAGTGCTGATGGAGTTTTAAAGAGCATTTTTACATCATTGTTTCCACGCTCTGAACATACAAACCTTAATTTTTAATTGGCTGGGGTTTCTTTTAACACTGAGACAAATATTACTGTCACTTTGCAGGGGTTTTGCCTTTAATATGACTTATATCTGTTGTTAACATGACGAGTGTTAAAGACATGGAATCTGTAACTGTATAAACTTTTATTACACTGAAATGTTAGAAAGCTGAGTGTTAAAGAAACCTGACAAAATTGTTTGCAAAACAAGCTATGATTTCCTATCTACACAAATTACATTTAAGTGAGTGGTCAAGGTCTGTATATCATACTTACATACATTTTCTTATTAAAATAAATACACTAATACAATAATCATGTATGATAATTTTATATCAGCTTGGCTCTTAGTCTACCTTAATGGCAGAGTCACCCCCTTATAATTGGGATATATATTTGTCCACCTCTTTTTAAAGGCATAAAAATGTATAAAATGCTTTGGAAATTATACTACTGTGTAACTTTGTAGTGGCTTAATATCAATGGGAAGGAGACAATCACGCTGCCTAACACAGGCGACTAATTTAGGTGGCTAATTTAGGAAGTTAATCTTCCTAGTCTCTCTGTAAGAAGTGAACAAAGAGGTTGCTGCATTGTGTGGCTCCCTGGAGGAGCCTAAACTGGAGGGCTGAGATTTGGCCCAAGGAAGAGCTTGTCTCTTCCGCTGATTCAAGAAGAAGGTCTGGGACATAAACCAGGTAAGTTAAGTGCATGATATACCCATAGGTCATTTTAGTAATGACCACAGGAACACCCCAAAGTAGTTGCCATCTGCAGACTGCCTGTTAATTTGTGTGATGTGATTAGTAATACAGGGCAAGTCTGAGGAATGTACCACAGTTACCATCAACAGTGCTGACATAGATAATCCTCTGAGCAGGGAGGCTGGGAGTTTATTCTGCTCTACCTCTAACATACTTTCTTTAGACTGGGGCAAAAATAGTGGCTTGGTGTTTATTATGCGTACAGCTTTAGAACTTTATTTTCTTTAGCCTTAATTTCAGTCTGCTGACATAGAGTCCCCACTGATTTCTGTAAACTTTTATGAGGCCTAAGAGATACTACTTCTGACCATCTCACAAGAACTGCATTTGTTTAGTATTTCCTTTTATTTGTTAATTTTAACAGAGCAGATTTCTGTGGAGAAGAACAGTGATTTATTACTTTATTTTTTAAAAAAACTTGTATTCTTTGTATTCCTGGCAGTGGATGAGCTACTTTTAGGGGGTCTGGAGAATATGAGCAAGACTGGAATCCGCAGTCATTAACACCTCCAGTCAAAATGTAAATCAAACAAGGTTGAGAACCTCTGGCTTGAATGTTCATGGCACCACTGCCAATGTCGTGATTACTGATTTGGAAATCTTGCTTTTACAGAATGGACTTCGATGATGAAGATGGAGAGGGGCCCAGCAAATTTTCAAGGTGAGCGTTTACAAAGAGTTGGCCAAATCACTGACTTTGTTCAGTGGAGAAAGACAGCTGTCTCACTACTCATGTTTTAAAGGCTGAAGAACTTGCCAACAACTTGACCTAAATTCTAGTTACTGTTTTTATCAGCTTCCTCTGCAAATTAGGCATCCTGGCAGAAATCTGCCTAATGTAGTTATTGGCTTACAAAGCTGACAGCGTGTGTGTCATAATTTCGCTCTGCAGCTATGTCAAATGAGAAAATTTGTGATTTTTAGCTTATTATTTCAACTGCTGTAGATGAACTTTGGTTATTTGACATTGCTGAAGTTGTCTTTCTGCCACTGAAAATGAATTTTATTTTGAATTTATTTCAGATGTTAACTGCTTGTTAAAACAATATGACCGATCCTAGAGGTGTGGATTGTTTTTTTAAGATTAAAGCTCATTATGTACCATTAGGTGTAACTGAATAGTAAAAATTGCCAAAATAAATGTTAATTAACGTGGAATATTCTAGGCTAGCAATAAAAACAAACATTAAAGCATCATTGCCATTTTTTCACTCTTCCTTTTTTTCTGGTCACACTGCATTTTTTCGTTAGAAACCAAGCAGCTGCAGTGAGGGGTAGATACTTTGAGGCCTACAGATAACTGCTGATTATCCAAATTGTAACTGCAGCTCTGTAGCAGCAGCCTTGCCGAAACACAGCTGTCGCCGTAGGGTTTTAACACGATCTTCCTACTCAGTCGGAAAGATAAGTACGCTGAAGATGTGTCCTAACACCGTATCATAACCTACAGGACAAGACCAGCAGCACCCCTGTTCAGCTGGTGTCATTTACAGAAAGGGTATTCCAGTCTCTGGTGTTAAAACTGGTGATCTGAGGGCTAGTCCTAATGTTTGCTAGAAGATACACGTTAAGGGAACAAGATTTATGACTAATGTGACCTGATTTGTGCCTGCGTAAGTGTCAGGGTTTATAGGCACAGTGGTGCATGTGCGTTGGTCTGTCTCCATCCTGGTTTCAGCCTTTCAAAGTTTGGTGGTGGGGAGAGCCAATAGTTCCATAATTTTTCTTGGAGAGGTGTGCTGTGCTGTGCTTAGACCCAGTTCATTTTAGATGTCAGATTGAAGTCTGATCTTTAAATCTTAAATGCTGTAAAAGCTGCAGCTTGTTCTGCTTTTAGAGAGTACAGAAAAACAGTGCAGAGATGCCCAGGGCCATGTTCAGACATCCTCTTCTAGGTGTGCCCTCTTTTTAGGACTTTTCCCATCTCCAGGTTGATCATGTGACTGATGACTTGCTTGTCTCAGTCAAAATTATCTGGTTAGCAAAGAACTGCCGTTTAAGTGTTTAAGCTAACCCAGCTGGCTTTGACTGAAGTGCCTGAAGAAGCATGTGGGCAGAGAGGTCAGCTGGGGGACTGGAAGGGAGAAAAAAGTAGTTGGAGGCAATACCGTCTTCAGCCCAGCTAACCAGGCAAGGATGAGTAGACAAGCCCCAAGCTAGTGGAGCACAGGAGGTAGTGGTGTTACTACGGTACTCCACGTGAGTTAACACACCTTGCTTCTCAGGGACTTCCCAGCCAGCTCAGGTATCTCTGCATGGCATCTCATCCGCACACGGAGGCGTATGCATGTACTTCTGACGTGACGGCATGTGGCCATTTCTCATTGAATCTGTCTTTTTTGTTTCAAATTTTTTGGGCTCAGTCTGTTCTCTGGGCAGAGTCAAGTGGAATAAGGTGGCGTTTTTGCTTGAATGTTTTGAAGGTGCTGGTGTGAAACACAACATAGAAAGAAACACAGCTCAAGTCTCATTTGAGCTTGTTCTTCAGAGTTTGAGTCAGACTTACTGAGGAAGGAAAATATGAAGCCTCATAGAGGAACCTGCACAACTGGGGTACTTAGAATTAGTTTTAATTCCTTTCAGAAGAAAAAAAGCAAAAAGTTAATTATTAGGTTTTTAGAAGAAAAAAAGATGCTTGATTATGCTGTATTACCTTGCTAGCTAATACATGAAAACTTCATAGCTTCGTAGGCTCTCTGTTGTAATAAATTACATAATTTTGAAAAAGATAATTCTAATACAAAATATCACTTGACTATGATTCTCGAGCAGTAATAATCTTCAATTCTAGAAAAGCCATTAGCCTTGTTTTTGAAAACCTACATATTTGTTTTGGAACAAGCCTTTTAGTTTCTCCAAAAGTAAGGTCTTTTTCAAAAAATGTGGGGTTTTGTAACTATTCTAGCAAAACCTAATTTCATAGGATTGGTATGTTTTTAGGAAAGGGAAAAGAGGAGCAGCATGTCGTTTTTTCGTAAAATGTTGCATTGCTGCCTGTCTCTGGGACAGTGCTTCAGAAACAGTGAAGCTTTAATCCCACGGGGTGAAAGTCCCATTGATCTGAATTTCCCCCATAAAGTTGCTGCCAATACACTTGCACGTGCCTGTGTGGGTATCCAACTCCTGGTGATTTGGGTAGGAATGAGGTACCTGTTTACTTCTAGGGATTTAAGCCAGTTCTAATTTCACTTCTATTTACCCAGCAGTTTCATCTGCCTAACTTGACTTCTGCCAGTCTCCCCAACAGGCGGTACAGTGTCTGTACCTGCTAGAGCTTTTTTTCTGAAGGCATCCTTATGTGATGCATTGCACTTAAGCGCGTGTCTCTGCCCTCCTGTGTTATCTGTAGACCATCAGTGCCCTCTGCTGAATGGAGTGAGTTGTGGTTGCAATCTGGAAAAAATACAGCTCCTTCACTTCCAACACAGCGATGAATATTTCATTGGCTGCTGTCGATAAAAGCTCAGTGGTGTTTTCTGTAATGGTGCTGATTGTTAAGTTTCCCAAGCAATGAGTGTATGTCAAAGTGTTTGCATAAATCCACTGAAATGTGTCTCCAACTTTAGATATACAAATGAAGCTTTTGAATCGGCATGGCTTGGAAGTTTCATCAGACTCTACGTTTTCTTTGCTTTATCATTCTCATGCCCTCGTTTTCCTTGCTGTTATTTGTAATAGTTTGCAGTTGTGAACTTCTTTGCTTTCTGCTGTGTGTTGACTATCGTGCAATGCATAACCCTTGTGGATTTACTTACTGTCTTTTGTTTCTAGGTATGATGGTGATCAAATCTCTGGTGATAAGGAAAAGTTTGCAAGGTAGGCGTGTTCTGTAGAGCTCTTCTGCTGAGAGAAAAGAGGGGGATGTTCAAGCCCAAAAAATCTCAGTACGTGTGCCTTAGCTTAGAGAGCCGGTTATTTTGTTTCTAGGTGGGACGATGATCAAAGTACTGCTGACACAGAAAGGATGGCCAGGTAGGAAAAAGGAAAATCAAATATGGTTTGCCCCCAGTTTTATTTTATAGGATGCCGTTAGGACTGATCAAAAGTCAGGAGGGTTGGCTGATCCAAAAGCGCTTGCAATCAGAAATGCTAACCTTGGACCTAAGTGGATTTGAATCAGCTGCTGCAGTCTCCTAAAATGTAACGTCCCTCCAAAATTTCCATATAAAAACAAAGTTAGAAATGACAGAACTAGAACATCATTCTGTGCATGTTTGTGAATGCCAGCGTTCCTAAGGCAGACACTTTTGGAAGAGGAGCACAGCCCCTCTTCTAAGGGTTTAAATCTGAACTAGTTTCAGGAAAGTTTCAGGGGTTTGTTTCCTTGAACGCTTTCACAGTCAGTTGATTAACATACTGTTACTTTGTAGCTTTTATGATCACAAATGAAATGGACTGCTGAATATTCTCTTTCTTCTCAGGAAGTTTGCAATCTCTTTGTTTACTCTTTGTAATGGTTGTTTTCAATGTTCAAGAGTATTAAAATACTTTAGTAGCAAACAATGTAATATGTATTTATAACTGTAAAATATATGTTGAATATGTGTGTTCTTTGTCTCTCTCTTTTTTAATCACCATTTCTGTGAAAATGCTGAACTTAGAGCAAGCTTTCATCATGTAAAAATGCATTTTTCTTCCCCCTGTCCATATTTTTCTGCATACACACATGTGTTCTTATGTACATACGCACTGTCACACAAGCTTTTCTGCTTGTGCGTGTGTATGGGATCCAACTCCCACAGGCACTGTTCTCTCCTACATCTGTGCAGACCCACACAAAGGCTGTTTCTCAGTCATTTGAGATGGAAAAGTTCACTATTATGGTGTAAAAGATAGTTAAGTAGATTTGGACCTTAACCAAGGGACTGGTTGTAATTTATGGAACAACCATGGGCTGTCACTGCAGGGACCCACAGCTGGATTTCCTGAATATCAGATAGTAAGCGTAGGCATCACCAGGAATAATAACTCTGCGTGTAGCCTTAACAAGAGGTATTTCTGGAGACAATGCCTCATGCGTATAGCACCTATATGTGCAGGATGCACATTGTAAAGCAGGGCAAGCCCATGCATTCCTCTGTTCCAGGAATCAGCATACTACAACTCGGATTCTTTCCTGCATTTTAAGAAAAGCCTGCATTATTAAAAGCAGCCAAAAAGTATGCCAAGCCTAGCTTCTACTTTCATGATCAGCCTTCATAACAGTCAGCTCCAAAGAATGTTGCAGTTTATCTTTTAAAGTTATGTTATCGTACCGGTCAGTGCTGGTGGACTCTCCAAGTGATCACCTTTCACACCTTGCTGGATTGGCCAGCGGATCGCTGGCCCACAAGAAAATGCCATGTACAGCTCATTGAAAACAGTGGAAGATGCTGCTTTGACATCTGAAGCATCATGTACCTGTCGTGTATTTAGCTGCCACCTGACAGGTACAGTATGGGAAAAATAAGTGCTAGGCACTGAAGTATTCTAGGTCCATTTGGACAATTTGAGATGTATATATTGGTGTAATTCCTTAACAGTGATCAAGCAATGGTGATTTACAATGTGGGAAAACTGAACTCCCAGGTCTTCAGCTCGGAAAGATTTTGGTGACTGTCCATTTTGAGAATTCTCAGATTTGACTCACCACCTCAGTCATTTGTTTGCTATAAAGGATGAGAACATTGGAACTCAGCCCAAAGTGGGGCAGCATCAAGTACTGTCACTGTTATTTCCCTGCTGTGCTAGATTGTTCTTGAACATAAATTCTGATCTGTGTCTAACAAGCCAGATGTTTACTTGCTGTCTTTCATACTCATTTTATTTATTTACTGGGCCTTTTATTGTATGTACTGTTATACCATATACGGTCCCAGTCCTGCAGTCTGATCCTGTAGGCAGGTAGGGTCTTCCTAGAGGGATGTGGGACGTTCCACACAGTGTTACAGGACTGGAGATCTGCGTTGTCTTTGAGTGGGTGTTTTTGTAAGTCAGCGCTGACACTTACTGTTGACCCGATTCAGCTGTGAGAGGTTTCCTCTGAAAGAGATCTTTTACAAGCAGATCCAACCGCTTGAGCAAGGACTGGAAGCTCTGAGATGCATCACAGGAAATTTGGGAGTTTGGCTGGAGCTGGCAGTTGTCAGTTCCTCACATCTTTCTACTTCATTTTTTGTCCTTAAACTAAAGGAGATTAAACTGGTTAAGAGATTAAGTCCAGAAGCCAATAGCTAGAAATATGGGCTCTTTTCACAGCTGTGGTCGAATCACATTTATCCTTCTGTGGCCTGGATTTTCTGTCTGTAAACCGAGGGATAATAGTACTTAGCTTTGTAAAGCACTTTGCTCTCCTGGGGTGAAAGCAGCAAAACAAGTGCGAAGTATTATGATTCGTTACCTCCAATTGAAATTCTTACACTGATCATGTCTGCTTTTCTGTTGGTTTGGTGTTTCTTTAAATGTTCAGGGAGAATCATAGTGAAATTGAGAGACGCAGGAGAAATAAGATGACACAGTACATCACTGAACTGTCCGATATGGTACCCACTTGTAGCGCGTTGGCTCGTAAGCCTGACAAGTTGACAATTCTTCGGATGGCCGTTTCACACATGAAATCAATGAGGGGCACTGGAAACAAATCTACTGATGGAGCTTACAAGCCTTCATTTCTTACAGAACAGGTAGATTTTTTGCAAATGTCTGTTTTCTGTGGTTTGTGGTCTTAAATGATGTGAGGAAATGCTGAGAGGAGTAGAGTCTCAGCTTGGTCCTTTGCTGTTGCGTAGTAACTGGTACAAGCTACATATCCAAGATGTGAATACGGACAATTTTTTGTGACTGTTTGGACTCGATCTTAACTGTATGACAAATCCCTCTCTCTGACGCAGCAGAGTGGGCGTTCTTATCATTGAGGTCTGTCCATCTGAAAAGCAAGTCACTTGTAGTCTGTTGTCACTGGAAAGGAATTTTCACATCCAGAAATGCCTTCTTCCCATCCTAACAAAGATTCTCTAAAATAGGGAAAAATGAATCTGCTAAGACCTGCCTCTCTCTCCTGGGTTTAGAGGAAGGTTAAAAACATTATTTAGTCTTAATGCCTAAATTCCTGGCAGCTGAACTGGGCAGAGATGAATCCCATCTGTACTGGCTGGGGTACTTCCTTGGTCACATTTTTGATGGAAGAGGGAAGATGCACCCAGGGCTCGAAGGAAAACTGTGTTTAACTGAGTGCGCTGGAAATTCCTACCACCTTCATTGTTTTTGAAGTCCTATGGGTGTAATGTGGATTTTTGTGGTCTGAACGATTTAAGCAGTTACACATGTAAGTTGTGGCTGGAGGTGATACTTCTTTCTATTAGAGAAACAGCAGCTGCTGCTGACCTCTCCGTGTTCTCATCTCTACTTATTCTGGCTTTCCTGAAGCATGTTTCTAGAGGGACTGTGCCATTCAGGTGGTTGTTGGTAGGGTACCCTTGTCACTTCTCATTGCAGCTTTTTGGGGTTCTTTGAACCTTGCAGAATGACAGAGTTTATCTTCATCTGTGGTAATAACGTATGCAAAACAGGTCTCATTGTCCTCTGTATAGTACAGGCAGTGAGGTTTTTTATTTAGTCAGTGGTTGAGAATTGGTATGGTTTCTCTACAATAAAGTGGCAGAAGTTGATGGTCTTTTAAGTATTTCTTGAGATGAGTTGTCTGTTTCTTTACTGGAATTTGCTGCATTTTGATCCTCACTTTATCAGTTAATATCTGCCACTTGCACACTGGTCATGCAGAGCCGTCTAACCTGGAACGGGACTCAGATTGTCCAAAGCTGTCTGTCCGAGTTCCACATGCAGTACCTTAACAAGCTCTGGTGGTCACTGGAGCCACCAGGCAAAGGCTGTTTGAGCTTGTTTCCCAGGAATTGGAGTGGTAGTTATCCTTTCCCGTGAGAGGTTTTCAAGCTCTGTTAAGCAAAGGTAGCGTTCCTGTGTGATGCATGCAGACAGCTGTCTGCACGTGCAATTCAAGGTATTGGGAGTCTAAACCCAGTGTCCGAAAGTGAGGGACAGAAGTACTTGGCTTTAAAGGTCTAAGGTCCCCCTTGCAGTCCCCAGGTGGGGTTGGGTCTCCAGGTGCTGCCTCTCAGGTGAATCTGTGGGTGTCTCAGGACAGAAGAACCCAGGATGAAGAGCAGGGGACTGTGTAAAGGAAAGGCTAAAGGCAGACATGTTCCAGACCCTTTGGATCTCTGAGGCTTCATATTCACAGGTTGGAAAAAGCAAGCAAGAAGTGGTAGAAATTTCTTGTGTAGTGGCTCAGGGCCCCAAATAGGAGGGGAGGCTGGGGATTGCTGTCCTTGTTCCCATTATGTTTTCTGCCTTTTATCCAGTGACTGTTTAATTTACAAAGAGAGCTCATCCTGAAGGGGGAAAAAACAAAACAAAACAAAAACCAAACAAGAAACAAGAAAGACTTGTTGGTTTCTTTCCAACTAAATTATTCAGGACATTTAATTAAGGGATGAGTTTGCTATGTGAGTTATAGCCGTTCATTTCCTCTGTTTGTACTGTGAAATAACTTTTTATTTTTTGAATGTTAGATGCCTATCGCACAATACACAGTGAGTTTTAGTTACTTAATTTTCCTAAAGAACATTGAGATCACCAGGTGAAAGGCAATAAAGGAAAACAAAGTGTTGTTTGTTATTAAGATCAGCAATTTATGGCTTGCTGCAAGTTTGGTTGTGGTGTTATGTCAATACTGCAGTGACAATTTCTGCCTAGGTTGTGATCAGTTCCTAAGATCGCAAGAAAACAATATTCTTTGGCAGTGACAGATGTGTTACTTAATTCCCTTTTCTTGCTGGCATTCTAATCAAATCCTTTCTTTGGAAGGAACTGAAACATCTTATCCTGGAGGCTGCAGATGGGTTCCTGTTTGTAGTTGCAGCTGAGACGGGAAGAGTGATCTACGTATCAGATTCTGTGACTCCTGTGCTGAACCAGCCGCAGTCTGAATGGTTTGGCAGCACTTTGTACGAACAGGTTCATCCAGACGACGTGGAAAAGCTGCGAGAACAACTATGTACATCCGAAAACTCTATGACAGGTCAGATATGTCTGATGTATGCTTCTGTGCGTTATGGATACCTGCAGAGTTTTTCTGACATTCAAAATGCCTGGTTTAAAAATCTGGTAAAAATGAAATTCAGCAAGATTAAAGTGCATTTTCTTGCAGGCAGTGCAGTAATATAAATCTTCTTTTGCATGACTACGTTTTGCTTCCTATTTGTTTGACTTCAGTCAAACCACCTTCACATAGCTCTGCATTCAAACTTCTGGCTTGGTTAGGTTTGGAATCTGGATTGTTTTCAGGCTTGCTCTGGAAATCTAGATTGTTTGCCTTTCGTCCCCAATGAACTTGTGACTTCTTGACAAATATGTGTTTCTTTAGGGCAGTGTTTATTTTGAAGGCAAAATCATACTTTAGACTTTTCCATTTTCATAAAAGTTCCATGTGGTTTGCTAACGGGAATCCTGGGGAAAAAAATCCAGTGTTTGGCAGCTGAAAATCTAGTGGATTTTAAATGGGAGGCTTGCTCCTGTAGCAGTGGTGTAAGTTAGCTGTAAGTTGACTACCAATCATTTTGCACATAAAACTAAACCATATTCATATTTTCAGTGTAACTCTGGCTTTTACAGTTATTTATGCTCAAGACTGCCAATAAGAAACTACCCTTGTCTTTAATACAATACATGTATGTTAGAGCTATGAGAATTAGTTAAATCCTGTTTGAACTCAAACTTGGAAAGAAGGAAACCCAAGTTCTCTTTTTATTCTTCCACATAGTATGTTTATAGCTAAAGGAAAAAAGCTAGGGGAAAATATACCAAGATCCTGATCCATGCAGAAGTCACATAATTTTTCCTTGCTTTAGTAATTCAGAATTCTGACCTGGTTTGCTGGAAGTTTTGTTGTTTCATAACTCAAAGGACAGAGATCCAGTTTTGAGTGAACCTGCTCACTGTTTACAGCTTCCATGTCAAAACAGTGCCAAATTCATGATTTCCTGTGGTTTGAATGTGATGTGGTTTTGGCAGAGCTTTCGTGTATTCAAATTGGAAACTCAAAGCAAAATTTTGTGGTGAAAATCCAGATGGATCGAAACCAAGTGAACAGTTAAGGGAACCTGTGCAGAGCAAACCAGCTGAGTTTCATACCACGAGACTTGCAAAAGAGCACAACCTCTGTTTTTATTATGTAGCATGTAATACGTTTTAACATATGTACCATCTTCCTCCAAGAAGCAATTACTCTGGAGCCTCAGTGAACAGTTGTGTTTCGACTTCCAAAAGTTCTCAGTTATGGGGCTTAACCCGCTCAAACTGGAGCAGGACTAGACAAACGTAGAGCACTGCTGAAAACCCAACTCTGTATTTTTTCCAGTTTTAACCATGTGTTTTTCTTTTACGCTGAATTCATCTGTAGCCAGTGGAAAGAGAAGTTCAAATAATAGTATTTATAGGGCTAAATCTTTTTCCTACCTGAGTCTTTTGGAGTTGTCAGATTGACACAAAAGGCCTGTGAATCTGCTGTACATGGTCAGCTGAACATTTTCCCAGTATGAGGAAAGTGTCAGCCTGTTTAGAGCCAGGGTGGCACCCCTTAAGGTGCAGAGGCAGGCTAGGTATAGAAAGGTGCTTTTTAGGGACTGGAGGGTGTGTGTAATTACAACTGTTCCAAGCAAGTACAAGTAAGAACAGTGCGTAATTGGTCCTAACTATATGGAGCACACTGTGCAAGTTTTCCTTTGTGAAGTTGTTGTGGTTATATGTACAGTGCAACTTTTTGGCCAGCTGAACATCTCACAAGCCATAGACACAATCGTCTCTCTGCTTCTGAATCAAGCATAGACATATAGTTGTATGAACATCATCTCTCATAAGGTCACCATAGAACAGATTTTTAAGGTGTCTGCTGCATTTTTCTAGCTTTTTAATAAAATTAGTGTAAAGCAAGTAACATCATCATCCTGCTTTTTAAGTGTTTTTTTTTTAGACATGGCTGGTGAAGTACATTTAGTTAGTATACTACTAGTTTTGTCAGTCTGTGGAGCATATAGATAAACAGAAAGCTCGAGATTTGTTATGCTAAACTTGCATTTCCTTGACCCTGTAAGGTACCATTAAATAAGAGATGCAGTTTTCTATAAAGGCTGTCAGTTCAGCATCAGTTTGCTTATAGACAGCATGCAGGAGGACTTCAGCAGCATCACTATCAGTCCTTTGAGATAGGTTTCTGGGAGCAATGTGATTCTAGAGTCCATTCAAACAGTTTGCACTTTCCTTCCTGTAACTCAAACCATATTGAGAGTAGCAGCTTTGTAACAGGTAGGAATAAAATGAAATATTGCAGTGAACAGAAATAATGAGTGCCTCAGTGACATTTTAAAAGAAGTCAAACAGGCAAATGCACTTCCTTTAAGTCAGTATTTACCAAACCATTTGGGCAGCCCCCAAGTCTCTCTTGGCTTCCCAGAGTTATGTTTCTTGCGGAACAAAGGGCAATGCACAGCTTGAAAGAGATGGAAAACGCAAACCAGGCAGCTGCATTTGACATTTTTCCTGCTCAAAGTGAAGTTCAATGCAGGCAGCAGGAAAATCCTCATCTTTTAGTGACCTCTGGATGTTGGGCACAGGATCTGCTGAGGGAAACAAAGGGATTTGCAGGTGAAAGTGTAATTAGATGTTATGATTTTGAATTTTGCTCTCTTCCTCATCTTCTCAGGGTCCAGTTTCTAAACACTATAACCTCCACCTTCAGCCCTTGAACTGGGGAAGCAATGACAGTGTCTTGACAAAGGAGAAACTTCACTTGCCTTGTCATATCAGAGCAACGTCCTTTGGTTATATTTATTTGTCCTGTTACAAGTGCTGATCGTTAGCGCTGCGTTGCTGGGGTTTTCCCAGCACCTCTTAGCAGTCCTGCTACCCAGAGAAGCTGCTCCAAACCCCGAGGACTTGGGAGACTGCCACTGCCAAAAGGGAGCGACAGAGAACGAGCCGGCGGAGAAAGCAGGCTCCCTCTCACATTTCTGCCCCCAGGAATAAGACTGGGGCTGGGGCTGTGGTTGCATGAGCGTTTTTGGCAGTCACACCAGCTTATGCAATCCTCACCTCATCTCACCCTCTCCTCCTTTGGCATTTGTGTGGTACTACAATGAGTCACATCAAGGGGACTGACCCAGCCAAAAGCTAAGCTAAGCAAAAAAAAACCTGGTTTTGGTAGAGACAGCTCTTTGGCCCACCTTATCATAGGGTTGCTTGAACTTGCTGGTTGGTATGCTATCACCAAGGAGAAGCACGGAGTGAATAGTTAAAGGTAAGGAGAGGTCAAGGCTTCAGGAGCAGTAAAAGCACATGCCAAATTGAAGTGGCTGTTTAACTATGGCCTAAACCACATAGTGCATTTGGGGAGTTAGTTACTTGCTCTATTTTTGACTCTCAGGATATGGGGAAGGATGGATAGTTTCTATTCCATTTTAGATCCTTGGAGAGTTTATTCCCTGGAAATGGAACAATTGTCTGCTTGTTTATTGTACATTAATTGCTAACACATTGTAGCAACAGAAAAGCTGAACTGTGAAGTATATGTATGGTTTGAATGCTCTAGAAAAGACTTGATGATAGCAACAAATAGTGCTCCCAAGAAGTCTTTATATGCGTCATGGGCATGATTAATCAGGATGGGGCAGCTATTCAGAGTAATAATTTATTTTCCCTCTTTGTTCTTGGAAATCTGCAGATGGGAAAACAAATCATTTCAACTATGGATGAAGATCAGATCTCACAGTAGGATCCATTAGCAAAGACCTCTTTGCCCTTGGGATGCACTGATGAACCTTGATGGATGTTGGGTTCAGATGCAGGTTCGGGTTGGGAGTTGTGAAGGGCTGCATAACACATAACACGGTGCAATCCTAATGCAAGCAAGAGCCTCTAAACAGCTGCAGACAACAAATCTCTGATGGCATAGAGAACAGACAAAACTTAGATTTAAGTGCAAAGAAAAACAACGTTTGAAGAATACCTCCTTTACATTTACTCTCTAAAAAATGACTGAGCAAGTATTGTAGTAGACTGTCCTTCTGTTAAAATCTAGTGTTCTAGAGCACTTTGCCAAACTGATTTCTACCAGTCTAATTCTCCATAAGCAGTTCATGAAAGAGTAGAATGAGGAATATAGGTACCTCTGTATGGTTGCCTGGAAATACTCCAAGTGATTCCATGATGTGTCTGAGATGTGCTTGTCAAGGCTGTGAGTCCCTGTTCCTGCAGGCAGCATCTCCAGTGTTGCAAACAGGAAACACCCAAGTTTATTATATTCAATTTTGAGCTCCAGACAGCATGTAGTAATCCAGCTATAACGTCTTCCTTCGGCCTCACTCTCTGTAGCTAAGGCGAGGCAGGGAGCAGCCTAGGTAATCCCGTCCATGGTGCGAAGCCTCCTCAGGACATTCAGGCTCTGAAGGAGTCCTTGCAAACTGTTTTCGCCGAGCAGTTAAGGGGTGCTGAAACTGCGAACCTCTGACTGCAAGAAAATGATGAGAACCAGAACCTCCACAGCTTTCATTTTCAAGTGATTTAAAAATGACTAAGTCAGTTTACTCGCTAGCTGAGAAAGATTAATTGAGGTTAGTTCTGGACAGAACTTGTATGCCAAGTTTAATCTTGGCATGATATTTTATTGCTGTATTTTATAAGCGCAAAAAAGTAGAACTTCATGATGGCAATGGTGCCTGACCACAGCAAAAGTTGAGCTGATAGGTACCTTTTTAGAAGAAGAGACCATTGTGTGACAATTCACTGTGGTTCATTAATATTGTGGAAACATGACTGTGTTACACAAGCAGAGATTTGCATTGGGGAACCTGTCTCACGGAACCTTCAGATAGTATATTGTCTTGCAATGATGGTTTCAGCGTGTGCGGTTTTCTGTCCAACTGCAAAGCTTTCTGTTACCAAGCACAGTTTGTAGACACAGCCACAAAATACAGATGCTGTAAATAGAGTCAAATTGTCTGTAAAAATAAGAAAAATAGTGTTAAA